GAATATTATGCAGTCATTAAAAATACTGTAAAAGTTCTCTTTAAAAATCCTGCACTGAATCATCTCTCCAGACTCACCATGCTTTCATTCCCCCTAAGAAACAAACTGCAGGATGCCTTTGTCCCTCTGTGTCAGCTTTTCTCCTACCCCCACTCAATCTCCCGCTAGCAATTGAGTTGTATGCTTACCACCAGCCCAATGGGTTTGCTCCCAAATGTGTTTATACTCTGGGTACTTGTCCTGGTAACAATGTAATTTAATTACATGTTATATGAGCCTATGGAATATGACTACTAAAAAGATGAGAGTTGCTATTTCTAAGAAAATTAATTTAAATGCTTTGGAAAGATTTTATAAAGCTAGTCACTTACATAGCAGTCAAATTACAAGAGTGCAAAATGACTGCAAAAGATCAGTCAGAATCATAAAAATGTAAGCTCCTACACTGAGATTGCTTTATAAGCATCTTTAGGTTCTCAATGAATTTTAAGGAAAACAATAAAAATTCAGACATTGTAAACAGCACATTATGGGTGTGATTTATGCAAGGAAGATGATCAGAAAGCACATGCTGGCCAAAGACAAGGCCTCAGCCTTACATCAGAAGGCTGGTAAATGAATGTACCTTTTGAAGATTAGTAAAATAAAATATTTAGTACATGTAGGTAATATCTTGTTTTAGTCTCCTTTTTCACCAATTGTTCTATTAACTGACTAACAAACCCTAACTCTGTTTATTGTGAGAAATTCTATTGTCCTTTAAAAACAAGTCTGCTGTGACAGGGACCAGAAGTGTCTTGATTCACTTCTGTTTCCAAAGTTACCTCCCCAGTGTCATTCCTGGCACATTTAAGTCTCCAGTAGAGAAGGACTGAATCAATAAACCATGTAGCAAACATGAAAAAAATGCTTCTAACAAAAAGCAAATTGAAAAAATCAGAATAGGAAATTACATGTAAACCATGACTACACCTTTACTTTTAAGAGACAGATGGAGACAGAAGGACAAAGCTGGAAGGGAATGCTCACAAAGCAAAATGGCTGTCTTGAGGGTAGAATAAATAAATTAGAGGCACTTGTATACATTTTTAAATATTTTCTTTCATATTGGCACATTCTTTTTCAGACTCAAAAAGATACTAATCAAGAAAAGGGAAATGCTGTTTTTGTTTCTTGTGGACTTCCAAATTAAGAAGTGAATTAACATTAACATTTCCTAAGCTCTCCAACACTTAGGCCTACTTCAGCACCCCTCTACTTTCTCCACCTCACCACCTCAAGTAATCCGATCTTTCTCCTCCTAAGACCAAATCTGTTCCAACAGTTATTTTGTGTTCCCAACCCATTAGGATGCTATTTTGTAAATCTGGAGTTATCCACCCTTCCGTTTACCATCTATTTGGCAAAAAAAAAAAATAATAATAAAATAAATAAATAAATCTCAAAACTGCAATTTACATTCCCAAGAGATTCCCAAACACCATCTAATTAAATCATTCAATCAGAAAACAAATTAAAATGAAATATCACTGCCACCCTCAAGAGGAAAACAAACTCTTCAGTCATGACTGGAACAGACCTCTAGGGTGATGCTCCAAAGTCTCTTCTAATTGCAAGTCCCACGGAACATCCTGCAGAACATTTTGTGACATTTGCAGCTTCCAGGACAACTTTTCTTCCAAAGCAAAGAGGAGCCTGAGCAAGGCTCCAAAGCAAAACATACTCATTTGCGAATGGAAATGTTTCATTAATGACTAAGCAGTGCACTGGGGGCCTGCACTGTGTACTCATTCATTCATCCACGCATCCATCCAATACCTACTCGCTGTGAATGCCAGGAAATGTCCTGGCTGTGCCTCAAACACTTTTTAAGTGAACGTAACCTCTGCCTCTCCGCATGAAACAAAACAAACCCCAGAGCTTCCTGAGTTTATTTAGGAAGCCTCCAAGTTGGAAGGCTAAGATGCTGTCACGGGGCCTCCCTCTGAGGTATCTCACTCTGATATCAAATCCCCCATCCAGATGAGCACTGGTCCCCCTTTGATCCACTGGCCCTCTTAGGAGACTGCAGAGTATATGGTTAAGAACACAGACTCTGAAGTCACATTAGCTGGCTTTAAATTCCTGCAGTACTACACATCAGTGAATAATAGTAAAATAAAATATTTAATGCATGTAGGTAATGTTTCATTCCCCTCTTTAACCAATTCTTCCATTAACTGACTAACAAACCCTGACTCTGTTTAATACGAGAAATTCTATTGTCCTTTGAAAACAAGTCTGCTGTGACAGGAACCCAAAGTGTCTTGATTCACTTCTGTATCCAAAGTTACCTCCCAGTGTCGTTCCTGGAACATCTGAGGTAAGGCCAAGGCTTGGCCCTTGACCCTAAACAAGTCGTATAACCTCCCCATCTGTAAAATGAAATTAATATTACCTTCCTCAAAGGGGTGTGAGGATTAAATTAGTAAATATATGTAAAGCACTTAGAGTAGTGTTGGGCACGTAATAGATGCTGGGTAATTTTTAGCTATTATTATTATTATTATCCTTTATTTCCCCCCCCCCCCTCAGTTCAGCAAAGTAAACTGAATTGCTCAAAAGTCTCCACTGACTACAGGACACCTGATGGTGGAGTATACGTAAACGCCCATATCATCAAGCACAAGAGTCTAATCTGTCCTTTCCCCTCCTCTGCCTTCAGATCACGGCACTCTGCCAGTCCCAAATTTTGTAGGTAAACCCCTAAATACGGTAAATCCCTAAATTTCCCTTTAAATCCCCTAAATCTCAGCTCAGGGATGACTCCAGCACTACAGGAAGCTGTCACTTGTCATTGGCACAACCGAACATGTAACCTCTGCCCTCCATCTGCCTCCTGTCCAGTCGTTTCCTGTCACCAACCCCTCCACACCACCCTCTGGGTTGTGGCTTTCAGTCCTGAGAACCTGGTCATTTCTGAATATCCACAGGAGTCATAATACAGGCATCGCACACATTCGAGAGAACGGTACTAGCACATGTTTTAAGGATCCTGCTCCCTCTTCTTTTTCCATCCTTGTCAGTGTTTTCAGGTATAAAATTGAGAGCTCCCAAACAATGCATCGTTATAAGGTTTCCCGGGAGAAAAAAAATCACAAAGGCTTCTTTCAGCTTCAACATTGCACTCATTTTCATGCAGAACCTTATCAACCATGTGACATGGTCCACATTTCCACATTGAACATGACAGGGGCCCACTCTGTGATGAGCTCACAGGTTCAGAGTGTCTCCTCACTGCTCTCCAAAGTAGTATTTTGCTCACCTCCTCCCTGACCAGACTGGGAAACATAAGAGACTCATATTCTGGGATATAGATACAGAAAGAGAATCTGTGAATTAAAAATCTCTCAAAATCTGTGGGCAAACTGAAAATGTCAAAGTAAGGAATGGCCTTGTGTCTCCCTGGGAACATTCTGAGTCACCCTGGGGCAAACATTGTACTTCCATTGCTGATGAATTGTCAGTACAGACCCAGACCCAGGGGAGGGAAGAGGACAAGTAAGAAAGAGCAGCAACAGGCACCATGGGAAAGATAAATGGGTCTGCAGAGACCCGTGCCAGGTTGAGAGGCAGAGGCAGGTGTGAAGGCGAAGCTGCCAACCGTCTCCTTTTCTGGGGAAGTGTCAGCGCCATGAACCTGCTTTGAAGTCATCAGTCAGGAAGCACCGTGGCTATGCACACCTCGCCTGCACTCACCTGGACCTGCTTGGGAAGGAACTATTCTGGACATAGTGAGGAAACACACCAAAGGTGGAGACAGCAGCTGTCTCCACCCCGGCAGGAGCTAGACGCTCATGTGTAAACAAAAGAGAGTGCTTCTACGGGGTGCACGGGGTGCTGGAACCAAAGCCAGGTGGGCCTGCCAGATTTACAGGTGAACTAGGCTCAGCTGAGCCTGCCCTTAAGCAGCTCACAGGCCTGGCAGAAAGCAGGGGGTGTGAGTGGCAAAGAAAAGATAAGTGTGAACTGAACGTGAGAGATCTGCATGTGTGTAAAGAGCCTGCGTGCAAACGGTGCCTGGAGCTCTCCATTCCCTGCCTCTGACAGCTCTCTGGACCAGGTCACCTGGATGGAGCGCCTGCCCAGCACCCCATCCTCCCCTTGGCCCCAGCCCAGGCCTGGAGTGAAACCTCCCAGCACTGCGTTGGATTCCAGAACCACCCAGGCGGTCTGTCTGCTCCGCCCAGCCACTCCCTGGGCCCAGGAGTGGAGCTACCAAGGGGAAGGGCCTTCATCCAGCTGCCAGCGGCTCCGTGAGGAAGGCGCAGCCCAGGGCGGGTTCTCCCGATCCTAGATCCTAAGCGGAGGCGCCACCGCAATACACAGAGCTCCAGGCGCCGACTCTTCTTCCCCGGGTCCACACCTGCTCCTAGAGAGGGTCTTAGAGCCAAAGGAGGTGGTGGTGGAGAGGACAAGCAGCACCCCAACCACGGATCTCCCTGCGTCTCCCCCTACAGACCGCGCACCGCGGGGCTGGGGCTGGGGCTCTGCAATCTTCCCAGCTTCCGCTCGTCCCGCAGCCTGTGGGTTCTAAATGCCAATGGCTGAGGCCGCGCGGGCATCTCACCGTGGCCCCTACAGTAGCCAAATGAGCTCGAAAGCCTGCGTGCGCTCTCTTGTACACACACACAGTCACACGTACACACACTGAAGTCGGACCTGTGTGGGATCCCGAGAGCCTGCGAGCAACCAGCCGGGAGTCACACGCACATTTGGACACGTGTGCAGCGCGCCCCCACACTGCCGGTGAGCAGCACACACGTGTGTCCTGGAGAAGCGCGCACGGCCGCAGGCACGAGGGTCCCGCACTCCGGCGAGAGCGTACACGCAGCCCCCTCGCATCTGCAGCCTCAGCCCCGCAGTCGCTCCTTAGCTGTGACCCGGCACCCACGCACCCCGCGCTGCGCTGGGCACTCCCGGGCCTCACGGGCGGCCCAAGTTTCCCGGGGCTCCCGTACCTTGGATGTGCTGCTTGATGACATTCTCCAGGTGGTCCAGCCGTTCAATAATCTTCAGGGTGTCCCCTTTGTCTTCCTCCAGCTTCTTGTCGGGCGCCGGCTCCTGCCCCCGAACATACACGCTGGCGATGTAGTTGGTGACCCAGCCCACGTAGAGCAGACATATGATGTTGGTCATGCCGCTCAGGATCACGCAAGTGGACACCAAAGTTTTGGTCTTCCTGGTGCACACCATTCTGGGCTCCCTCCTCCATATAGAGCTCCGGGCCCCTCCTCGCGGTGCGCGCCCTGGATTGCCCCGCGCTCACACCCCCTGGCCCGCCCCGGGCGGCGGGGCACCCGAGCACCCGAGTCCCGAGATTCCCCAAAGCGCAGTCTGCTGGCTGCGGAGCCGCGGAGCCCAAGTTTGGCGCTCCCGCCGTCGGCCGCCCGGAGAGAAAGCCTGACAAAGGAAATGAGGTGGATTTTTCCCAAATTAAAAATCTCCGAACCCTTCTCCGAGCGGTTACGGGTGGCAGGCAGCTGCGAGCCCCAGTACGCGCGCCTGGGAAACTTTGCCACAGCCTGGGTCCGCGGCCGCGCCGCTTCCCATCGCCAGCCTCCGGGTGCCTCGGCGGTCCCACCGGCCCGCACTGCTAGAGGGAAGGCAGCGGCGGCGGCGTTGAGAGCCGCGGAGCGGAGCGCCCGGCCCCCTCCGAGCGACAAGCGCCGCCACCAATCGCGCTCCGGCTTGGGAGAGGGGCTGGTGCTGGGCGGCGGGACCAAGGCGGAGGGCGCGGGAGGCGGGTGGCGGGGCGGAGTCCAGCCCCCAGGCCCCACCTGCTAGCCGCGCCTGGCTCCCGCCCTCCAGGGGTGAGCCTGAGCAACCACCCTCACCTGCGCTCCTGCCCCAGACCCAAAGCTGCTGGCCAGGACGCACTGCCAGTCCCAGCCCCTCCGTCGGCAGATTCCACCTCTGGGTAAATTCCACCTCTTGCTCATGCTCTGGAACTTCCAGTCTTTGGAGGGGTTCCCTAAGCTCAGAGTCCCTCCCTGGCCCCTGCCAAGGGGCTTCTTGCACTGGCCCCACCAGTCAATTCCTGGACTGATTTTTCTGGCTGCCAAGATGCAGAGAGGCCAAGGAAGCATGTGTGGGATCACCTGCCCTGTCTTGCTCTTGGTCAGGCTCTGTAGGTACCACTACTTCCTTGACCTCACTTTGACCTCTACCCTGTCCGCTGGCCTCCTGGATGTCTCCAAACTTGGCAACTGTCAACGGAGCCAACCTCCCGTGGTCAGCAAACTGCGGCTCGCGAGCCACATGCAGCTCTTTGGCCCCTTGAGTGTGGCTCTTCCTAAGCTGTAGGAGTACCCTAATTAAGTTAATAACAATATACCTACCTATATAGTTTAAGTTTAAAAAATTTGGCTCTCAAAAGAAATTTCAATCGTTGCACTGTTGATATTTGGCTCTGTTGACTAATGAGTTTGCCGACCACTGTTAGGCATCTCCTAGAAGATTTTGGACCACCACTACCGTCATCCGCCTCAAAGATTTTTGCCCTGATCTAGATTTGTTTTTAAGTCTGTGCACCCCCGGGACCACACTGTGTCCTATAACACCCATTGTCTCCAATGGGGGACCAGGCTCATCTCAGTGCATAGGGACACCCAGCACAGAATCATCCCTGGGGAAGGAGCAGGTGGATAAGCTCTCTGTGAACTGCACAGCCCCCATGCGTGCTTCTTGTGACTGATGTTAGGGAGGCCTGTGACTATCAGCAAAGGCACAAGGCTGGACTCCAATGGCTGACACTATTTTGTTTGTTATTAGAGCAGATATTCATATTACCCCTTCCTGCTGAACTCACGTCTTCTCAGCACCTGAATAGAATTCCTTTAGACAAAGACTTTTTAAAACACATATTTCTTTCCTCTTCTCAATCTGTAGCATGCATTTCCCTGGCCTGAAGATTCAGGGAGGCAGCCTGCTGCATGCCCACCTTGTACACCTTGTGGCTCCCTCAAGTGATGTCTTCTGGATTCAAAGCACTGGCCCCACCAAAGAGGGAGAGCACAAAACCACAGAAGGGGCACTTTATAGCCATCAGCCAGGGGCCCTTTGACCAGTGCTAAACCCCTAAAAGATGCTGTAAAAACAGACACCAACTAGGGATCCCAGAAGATTTCTCTTTACCCATAGCTAGAAGGGAGAGCAATAGGTGTGAGCTGAGGAGAGCAGAAAAGGAGAGTACGTATGTGTCCATAAATTTGAGAGGAAAGAACACATGCTATTTGTGGGGAAGCGGGAGGAAATCAAGGTATAGAAATCTCTATCCATGAGGGGATAAAAACTTGCCTCTCCCCTTCTTCTCCTCTGGAAATATAACCAGCTCACAGATGAAGGGTCTGGTCTTTCCTCTGGCTGGCTGGATGTACAGGCAATGGCCTTGGGTTTTGCTAATGAGAAAGGTCTAGTTCTCCTTTCTGTTCTGCACCCTCCCAGGAGAAACCCTGGAAGTCCAGCTCCTCCCAGCATCTTCCTAAACCATCACAGGGCTAGAGAGAGAAGAGCTATACTCATTTTCACATTCTTGATGGGGGTGCGGGTTAGGGAGTAGGCCCCAAGTTTAAAAATAAGGTTCAAAGAGAAAGCAACGTGGATTGTGTGACCTTACGTTTTTGTCCGGCTGATCCTCTAATGTGTAACTGTGGAGGAATGCAGAGCAGGCTCTCCGCTCTGAAAAGGCACAGGGTCCAGATGACCTGTTTAAAGAATACCCACCAGAGGTGCAGCCAGACTCCAGGACTCTAATCCCAGGTTATGTGAGCTTGGACAAGTTTCAAAAAGTCACTGGGGCTCCATTTCTCCACGTGTCAAATGTAAACAAGACTTGCTGAAGGGATTAGTTGTGAGGATTAAATGAGAGAATGCACCAGAAAGGGCTTTAATTGGTTCAGGACACATAATGGGTGCTCAGGATCAGGTGAGTTTCCTTCCAGAATATGGTTCCTCCCCTTCCAGGCCAGAGTTCAAATCCATGAACCCTATCCTATTTAGCAATACTTGGTTTCTCCCCAACAAGTATCAGTGCTCTCTCTCTAATGTAAGCTAACCGGAACTGAAGCTGTACTGAAGAAAGGTACTCAGCTTGCCTAACTGGGCTCCAGCACAGTGGTTTTCTATTCATAATGTCTGTCTTCACCCTCAGTAGTATAGTGATCTCCATAGGCTGATAGGATGGTAAAAATGGAAAGCTGGTTTTCAGGGACTGTTGCCCCCAGTAACCTCAAACTTAAGACTCCTGACCCTTTGGTTATAAACAAGTTGATTGGAAGGGAGCACAAAACTTGGCCCACAAAGGTTTTTAGCCCTCATGTAATCTTTCTTAAAACAACTAGAGGCCTGGTGCATGAAATTCATGCACTTAGAGGGGTCCCTCAGCACAGCCTGCACCCTCTCTCAGTCCGGGAGCCTTCAGGGGATGTCCAACTGACGGCTTAGGCCTGCTCCCCACATGGAGCAGGCCTAAGTCGGCAGTCGGATGTCCTTATCACTGCAGCAGAGGAGGGAGAGTCTCCTGCCACTGCAGCTGTGCTCGCCAGCCTTCGGCCCAGCTTCTGGCTAAGCAGTGCTCCCCCTGTGGGAGCACACTGACCACCATGGTGCAGCTCCTGCTTTGAGCATCTGCCCCTTGGTGGTCAGTGCGTGTCATAGCAGCTGGTCTTTCTGCCATTCAGTTGATTTGCATATTACCCTTTTATTATATAGGATAGGATGCCTGAGTAGAGATTCATATCTTTGGACCTCCATTCAATTCCATTCAATCCAAACAATTACTGAGCCCCTGAGGTTTTGTTTCGTGACCAGTTGCTCAGGGCCCTACCCAGTTGACTCCAGACATATGGCTATAACCTGGGTCTCAGAGTTTCCAGATGAGCCTCCTTTCTGAGCCTTGAAAGCTGCTAAAAATAATTCTTGAATTGGAAGGATGTTTCTGATTCTCAAGTTAGGTCATTTACCAAACTCCTAAGTGTTTCCTCATCTTTATTTTAAATAAATCCTGCCTCAGGAGATCACTGTGAAGTTAGTCAGATAATGGATGTGAGCCAGACTAACAGAGAATCTAGTACAATGTGTTTCTTTAAACTTATGCCTAGCATTTGAGTTTGGGGTCTCCTTCCACTCTGGCTGTAAGAGGAAAGTGAGTACCTAGAGGAGCCTACAAAAAGGTTGGAGATTCCTGGTAGGGTCTGTGGGGAGCAGCTATAGGGTTAAGCCTGGGACTGACCTGTTGGCAATGTCACAAATAAGTCCCAGCTTAGAGGGCACAGTCCTCTAAAGCATCATTAGGCTTGCCTTTATGACCCTCCCTAGATCTTATCTGGGAAGCTAATGGGCTGAGGGAAGTGCAGCAAGAATAAGAACAAAAACAAGTGAAACTCACAAGAACAGTGTAACTTTGGTAACCACTATCTTGTTTACCTCTGACTACAAAATAAAGGCTCAGTTTGCCTTGGGATCTTTCTCTGTGGCCTCAGCCAGGCACAGGAAGATCCACGGAGACTAAAGAGAGCTAGAGAGTTCTGAACGCTGTCTCCATGTAAAACATTCTTCGCCGACTCCGTCCACACCTTTGGGAACCCCTGGCCCACCAGGGCTGGACCCCGGCAGGGTCTTCACAGCACAACCTTTGGATCGCACCCATCTTTTATATAGGCAGATAGTCTCCTCAGGTGATTTGAGGGGCAGCTAAGTAGGACTTCTCACCCACAAGTATGGCCACACCGTCTTCCCACCAGTACTAAGCCTTTATTTGGATTATCTTTGACACCAGAATTGGAAAAGCCAGTCATTAATGGAGCTTAACTATCAGTTAAATACATTCTAAGCGAAGTACCCTGACTGGAGGTTAAAAAGGAACAGTAGACCAACCTCGGCCAATGGCAGGGGTCCACTCATCAGAGAGTATTGTCAGTGGTTATCTATACCCACCAGATGGCAGCACCATACAAAGCCTTGGGCCCAGAAGTAGCAACTGGAATTGGGGGGCTACTGGGGGAAAATGGGCCCTGAGGGTGGAAAGCTCCAATCCCTGGTCTGGCTGCATGGGAAGTAAGGTTACCAGGTCCCTAGAATAAAAGGGATTGTTGGGGCTTCCTGCAGGGATGGATGCAAGGTTTAGAGGCAAAGGAGATAAAGGAACAATAGGTCTGAGATTGGATTCTGCCAAGCCACAGGACTGAGAGCCAATGACAGAAAAGGCACATGTCTGGGTGAGGAAAGGGGAACAAAGAGGAACATTGGGGCAAGCCTAGTGTTTTTCATATGTTGTCCCTTGAGCAGAAACAGCTGGGTTCATATTCCAGTTCTGCCATTTACTAGCTGTATGATCCTGAGCAAGTTACTTAACCTTTCTGTGCCTCAGTTCCTTCATCTACTAAATGGAGACAATAATAACAATACCTATTGTGTGGAGCTGTTTTGAGAATTAGATGAATTCATGTATATAAAGCACGTTAAAGGCACTACATAAGCTATTGTTATTATTACTATTTCTAAGCACCGAAGTATCTGAAAGCTAAATGAAAGGAGAGAAAGACAAGCCACCCTGAGAAAATTTTTCTCTAACTAGGAGCAAAGGTTCTAAGACTCTTGGCTCCTCCTCTTCAGTTACTGAAAGGCCCAAGGCAACTCCTAGCTGAATTGCAGGGCAGATCCTGACAGGAATCCTGCAACTAGACCCATTT